CAATCCGTGGAGCTCGAAAGCAAGATTCCTCGGCCACCCTCCTTTACCAGACAAGCAAGAATAGCCCAATGAATGGGGCTCATGTTTTGTTTCGAATTTCAAGTTTATTTAGTGTTTATTTACTTCGATTTTTATCATATGAGCTATCTTGTAGAGAAGAAAAGGGGTTTATTGTTAGAGAATTAAAAAACAAATTAATATCCTAAGTGGCCTGCGGTGTACTATAGCCTAGTTGATTTTTTCCCGTAACTTAAAGAAGAAAAAACAAATTTTAAAGGCTGCTAGCGTATTTTAAGAAAAAAATCATGTTACCAATTAGATAGTTTAGTTTAATATATATATATATATATATATAGAACACGTGATGATAATGACATATTACATAAAAAAAAAAACATTTGTCAAAAGAAAAAACCACTAAGAATCATTTCACATGCGCCGCCCCATGGGGCCACTTGACGCTTCAGACACGGTGGTTGGCAAGTTTTTATCAGCGGGAAACATCGTACGTGCTGCTTGAAAAACACGATTGCTTCCCATATACCTCTCATATACCAGATACCGCCGTTTGTCATGCGGAATTGAAATTAACAGGAAGTAAACCTTCTATCTTATCAGAATCAAATCACACAAGAAATTAAATTTAATTATGTGAAAGTTTGAGTTTAATTAATAACTTATAACAATTGTTATATTTGAAATAAAATACTAGAGATGTGTTCTTGTATTAGAACCAGGCCCTCTGCTTCTACAAATACATACTCATGGAATACTTGTTTGAGGTATGTTTCACAAGTAATGTGGTTAGGAAAACTTTGGTGCTTTTCTTCAGCTAACCGTCAAACGAGTCTAAAGCTGCACCACGATTCACCGATATCAAACTTTAAGGGATATAGTTTAATGGTTAGTTTTTATATTTATTTTTAAAATTATTGAAGGTTTATATAATTATTAACTTAAAATTTATAAAATTAATCAAAATATACATAAGCTAATCCAAACACTTACCTTAATAAATAAAAAAATCCTCTGCCTATAAGTATAAGAATTGAAGTTTATAAAATTGTAAAAAGAGAGAAGCTACATGGAACCATAAGCAACATCCAAATGATTGGAAGAGAGAAGCTACATGTTCATCAGAAATTACTTGATGAACCTTACGAAGGAGCAAGCGTCTATCCTTCACACATTCATTAACACTTGAAGATTTTTTCTAGGGTTTTTTAGATCGTCTCTCGAGTGAGCCATGGGTTCTAATCTTTTTGGGTTTCTTTGGACCAACATTAGAACACCCACTGAGGAAACCAAAAAGAAGAGAATGATAGGGTTTAGTTTGGAAGGTAACTTGAAGGGTAGCGTGCCGTCTGAGTCATGATCAATGCAAATTGTGGACAGGGAAGATGGCTGGAATACTGCAACTGTATCATATTAGCAAGTGTGTCTTTGCAAATTTGTAATGGATGCGCTGTCCTTACAGTTGCGTCCCAGGCATGTATTTCATAATCGATTAAAATATTTATTGTTGATGTACTCCAGGAAATAGTATAATTAACCTTCCATATCAGCCTAGCAATGAAAATAATAAATCATGGAGTGAGAATTAATAATATCATATTTTTCTTTTTATACGAGTTGATTTAGAGATGTAATTATGTTCCAGGAATGGTTCTATTTTCAAAACCAATTTGGTTGGTCATCAACTTATCATTTCCACGGATTCGGAGTTCAATCGTTTCATTTTCCAGCAAGAAGGAAAGTTATTTCAATGTTGTTACCCAGAGAGCTTTGGTGAGATTTTGGGAAGTGAAAATATACTTTTTGCTGAAGGATCTTTACACAGGTATCTAAGAAACTTGGTTATGAACCATGTTGGTAATGAAAGTCTGAAAGTAAAACTTCTTTCAGATGTTGTAAAAATGATATGCAAACATCTGAATTACTGGTGCGGCCAGGCTAGTGTTGAGCTGAAAGAAGCTGTGGCGAAGGTAAATTTATTCCGGATTCGATCTCTTGTATTCTCTAGTAGATTGATGGCCGTGCGTTTTTGTTGGTCGATTTATAAACAATATAAATAATTATTGTAATAACAGTTGAAAGTTAAACTCATGAATGTTTTAATATTCAAGTTAGACTTAATAGTTAATCATGTCTAGATATATTAGGTCCAGATATTTTAGATTCGATAAACATACTATACCCACTGCGCTTTACATAATTTTTTATTGGTTTTAGGCTATATCAATTTAACAAAAAACAATTATAATATTTTATCATTGAAGACATATCCAAATATTTTGTGTGGACATGCATAACCTAATATATCGGATCTTGCTGATCCAGCACCTTTAGTCTTGCAGACTTAACACCTTGGGTCGTGCCAGACCAAGTATCTTAGGTTCTAGCAGCCCTGGTGCTATTTCAGATTTAAAGTGCTAGGGTCTGATAGTTATATTATCTCCAACGCTTGGGTTTTACATTCATGCCGAATAACACATATATCCTTATATACAACCTTGTTTTTGTTGAAACTCAATAGTAATTTCGTATTTGAAATATTATAATACAAGAGAATGATGATGAAACCTCTCAACCAATGCATATTCTCCTTAGAAGCATAATTATATCTTCACAATATTTTTTTAAATAAAAAACATCTCCAATTCTAATGTTAAAATTTTGTGTCCTAAAAAACAAATCAGTATCTAGCAAGTTTTTATGGTAAGCACAATTATATGATTACATTGCTCCAATGTTGTGTCTAGGTAAACAATGAAAGAGTGGACAGTAAAATACTGATTTTTTTTTTAGTATTTCTTGTAGTTCTCCTATGCTTTATAATCTTACATTGATCAACTTAATATGCTATCTGCACTGCATTAAAATATAATTTTATGATCATGTCCCCTAAATTCCGACAAAAAGTATGGGCTTCTCGAGCTGCAATAGCAGCACTTTATTGAATTTTATAATATCTTGATCTTAACATTAAATGGTTTGTTTTCACAGATGGAATTTAGTTTTGGTATCAAAATGTTGTTCAGACACAAGTGAATCAAAGTCATCAAAGAACCTGAGACAAGCTTTTGCAGATTTCCTGTATGGCTTACTTTCATTCCCCCTCAACATTCCTGGAACTGCTTACTGGAAATGTTTACAGGTCTAGCCTGCACCATCTCTAAACATCTATAGTCGAGGACTATACTATAGTGGTTTCATAATAATATTTCTATAAGCATTACTGATTTCATTCTGAAAAACTCAGGGACGTAAGAGAGCGTTGGAGATAATTAAAAGTATTATGGAAGAAAGGCGAGCATTGCCCAAAAAGAATCAGGAGAAAGATTTCCTTGATCTTGTGATCGAGGAAATGAAGAAAAATGGGAGTTTGTTGACAGAGGCAATGGCTTTGGATTTGTTACTTATACTTGCCTTTGCTGCATTTGAGACCACTTCAACTGCTCTGACATTAGCTGTTAAGAATGTTGGTGAACATCCTCAAGTGTTAGAAGAATTAACTTTAAGTTTTTACGCATTTTCATGCCTTGTTAAATGTCTTCGTTATACATGTGTTGTTTTATACCCCATGTCCTTTTGCTATCAGAAAGGGCATGAAGCCATTCTAAGAAACAGTGAGGATAAGGATCAATCCGGGATCACCTGGCAAGAATACAAATCAATGACTTGCACGCAAATGGTGAGTCCAACAACATTAATTAGAAATTAACAAGGAGAACATCCCACTCGGTGCTTTTCGAGTGGCTCAATGCTTGCATATTTATGTTGCAGGTTATCAATGAAACTGTAAGGCTTGGGAACATTGTCCCAGGAATTATCAGGAAGGTGGTTAAAGATGTTGAAATAAAGGGCATGTGTCGAATTCCCTCCACTGAACCCATCTTTCAGATTTTACTGATCTTTCTTCCTTGTCTTTGATATTAATCAACAAGTCGTTAGGCATCGTGCAGGATATACCATTCCAGCAGGTTGGATTGTTATGGTCTGCCCACCAGCTGTTCATATGAATCCGAAACAATATGATGACCCTTTCACCTTCAATCCATGGCGATGGCAGGTAAACATGCCCGTCCGAGATTTGTTAAAAGTTGAATTTGATTGTTTTTGTTTTTTACTTTGAAAAATGTAAAAAAAAAAATGAATAATTGATTGTAAAAAACTCTCAAATCCCCCCAGAAAAAAAGACTTTCAAAAACTGTATTAGTGATTGTTGTTTTCATTTAAAGGAAATCAGAAGAAACAAGTTCAGAATCTCAGTTCCGATAACATACATGCTATGTATTAGTCTCTGATTTTCATTTGTTCGCTCTTGACATGACAGGGGCGAGAATTAAATGCAGGATCCCAGAATTTTATGAGTTTTGGAGGAGGTTCGAGACTCCGTGCTGGAGCAGAATTTTCGAAATTGCAGATGGCCATTTCCCCCCACCATTTGGTCACAAAATACAGGTAGCATTAGAGAACATATAAAAAGAAGTTGCCAGTCCATCAGAACGGTTCATTCTTTTATATATAGATGGCTTTTCTTCTCTTTACCTATCTTCATATAATAAATTAAAAATTAAGCCGATTGACATGATCTAATCTTCTAATTTAGGTGGAGAGTGATGAAGGTAGGAGATATCAGCAGGCTCCCAGCAGCTATCATTCCAAATGGTTTCCACGTTCAAATACTGGAGAAGAATATCTAAAAGCACTACAAAATCTGAATATCCTAATGATATTTAAGGCCACTGTCTTGTAAATTGAAAACTTGCTATTCTTGCTTGTTTGTGATAAATTATGTTGAAAACTAAAGCAAATTGTACCGAACCGAACACAAATTTAAAGAAAATGTTGAAAAGCAAATTGTTTATAAATTAATTTATAAATTTAATTTTAATTTTAATTACGTTTGAATTAAATTAGATGAGAATTTTTAAGATATACAAGGTAATGCACCGGATTTGAGAGATAGAAAAAGAAAGAAAAATGAAAAAGCTATCTAAGGAAAGGAATTGTTCCGTGGCTATATTTGTAGCGACGAGCAAAATTGAATCTTTATGGGTAATTGGGGAATTCTAACATACGAGGATGAAAGGGTAACACTGATGAATCTACGAGGGCAAAAATATAGTTTATGCTTCAATAGAGCCGAAATCACGTGCATTGCACGTGCCCTCCTCTATTAAGACTCCCAATCCAAAACTGGCGGGAATCTCGTGTCACGATCCCTCCATTTTCACTCTCTCTCAAAACCCCAAAACCCAAAAGGACACCACCATGAAACGAAACGCCTCCACCAGAAAACGCCCACCGCCAACGCCACAGCCACCGAACCCATCACCGGCGGTGAAGCATCAAGCCATCACTCCCACCGTCGACGAAGAATTCCTCGATGAAGACGTCTTCCTTGACGAAACCCTCATTGCAGAAGACGAGGAGAATCTCAATAAAGAACGTGAAGTCCTTACTTCTCGTCTCTCAAAATGGGCCCGACCGAAGTTATCAGATGGCTACGTGTCGCAATCGCAGAGTATCAGTGAGTGATTTCGCTGTTTGATTGTTGTGTGACTAGTTGTAGTTGATTACTAGGTTTTTTCTCTTTAATTTGTTGAAACTTTTATGGTTTTTGTTCGTGTTTCTGTGATTTGTATAGTATTTCAGCAACTCGAGATTGATTACGTGATCGGAGAGACACATAAAGAACTTTTGCCTGATAGGTCAGGTTCTGCTGCTATTCTTAGAATTTTTGGGGTTACTGGAGAAGGTAAGTAAGTTAATGCTTATAAATTTGTGTTTTTTCTGCTTATTGTTTCTAAGAGTTATGATAAAAATGCGAATGTTTAATTCTATTTGAGTTCTTAATGTAGTAGAATTGTCAAAAAGTGTGCTTTAGCCGGAGCCATAATGATAATGTGTTAGTTTTTCGGAGTCTCAGGTTTAAGCATTTTTAAGAGAAGGGATTTAGATGCATAATGCTGGTTTATGCGGAAAGTGGGAGAATCTTGAATATTTAGATCTGCATGAAAAGAATGTTTGATGTGAACTTATGGCTTGTTTGGATTTATTATTTAGTTGATATGTTGGGTATTTGTTAGGACATAGTGTTTGCTGTCTTGTTCATGGATTTGAGCCCTATTTCTACGTCAGCTGTCCTCCTGGAATGAACCCAGATGACATCTCCCATTTTCATCACATTCTTGAGGTAATTTGTTTTATCAGTTGATTGGATCATGTATGCTCTGTTTGAATTTGGTTGTTTTGATTCACCTATTTATCATTTTTGTTTGTGGTTTAGGGGAAGATGAAGGAGGTGAATAGGAACACTAAAGTACCCAAATTTGTGCGACGAATTGAATTGGTGCATAAAAGGAGCATCATGTATTATCAGCAGCAGCAATCTCATCCCTTTCTTAAGATTGTAGTTGCATTGCCAACGATGGTCTCTGGCTGCCGGGGTAAACATCTTAACTATGATACGATGGTTGCTTAAATTTTTCTGAAAGAATACATGGACAGCATCATTGATCCTTTAATGTTTTTCTTGTATTTGGAGATACAATCTTGTTAATATTTTCCTATCATCTGCAGGTATCCTTGATAAAGGCATACATATTGATGGACTCGGTATGAGGAGCTTCATGACATATGAAAGCAATGTACTCTTCGCTCTCCGTTTCATGATTGATTGCAATGTTGTTGGTGGGAATTGGATTGAAGTACCTGCTGGAAAATACAAAAAGACTTCAAAGAGCTTATCAAATTGTCAATTGGAGTTTGATTGCTTGTATCCTTTATTCCAGAATATTCTAATTTTGAGTATTTTTTTCTGTATTATGCTCTTCAAGATGGAAAACTCTTTCCTTCTTCAAGATGGAAATTCTTTCCTTAATAGATGCTCCCAGATATTCAGAATTGATCAGCCATGCTGCTGAAGGGGAATTCTCAAAAATGGCCCCGTTTCGCATTTTGAGTTTTGATATAGAGTGTGCTGGTCGCAAAGGCCATTTTCCTGAGCCTACGCATGATCCTGTTATTCAGGTTTATTTGTAGCTTTGTCTTATTAATTATTTCAGTAAAGCAGTCTGGTTGCTGAATCGGATTATTTTCTTCACTGTTTCTGACTTGTTTATATTTTTCTAGGTGGCAAATCTAGTAACTTTGCAGGGGGAGGACCAGCCATTTGTTCGTAATATCATGACCCTGAACTCATGTTCTCCGATAGTTGGTGTGGATGTTATGTCTTTTGATACAGAGAGAGAAGTTCTGATAGCTTGGAAGGTGTTAATTCTGCTGTTTATTGCTAGCTAGCTTTCATTCTACTGTTAATGATTGATACTCTGGCAATCCATACCCATTCTTAAACCGTTTCGTGGCCAATGATACCCTACTATATCAGTGTAGCCCTGTTTGTACAATACTAAGTGCCAGTTTAATGATTAAACCTGCTGCAAGAAGAGCATAACTAGTCATTCTGCTATCGTTTGTTTATTGATTTATGATAATAAAGCTGGTTCTGTTTTCAGGAATTTATTCGTGAAGTTGATCCAGATATTATAATTGGGTATAATATCTGCAAATTTGATCTGCCATATCTCATTGAGGTATTTTAGATGTTACTTGTACTCTCTTTGCACATTTTCATGGTTGCAGGTTTTCCTAATTTTGTATCATAATGCAAAGATCACTTGTGGATATTTTTTTTTGGTGGTTAGAAATGCTAATGTTTATGTTTGCTAAAATACCTACAGTTGTCTAAATTTATCATGTAGTTTTTTTCTGATCTATAGAGAGCTGCAACCTTGGGAATATCAGAATTTCCTGTCTTGGGCCGCATCAGGAACAGCAGGGTTCGGATCAAAGATGCGACCTTTTCATCCAGGTAACACTCACTATAATAATTACCATGTTTTATAATTTGTTTAATGAGAATTGCTTAATTGATTGGAATGGCCACTACACAGACAGCATGGTTTCTTAAATCTAATTGAAAACAATATTTAACGTCAACTCCAGTAGTGATATTAGTAATGAGGCACGACTAATCTTTGAAAATGGAAACACCTTTTTTCTGTTTTTGAAACATAAAAATAGGTCTTAATCTTTTATGTCGAGAGCCTTGTCATCCCTTGTTTTTTAATTCCACTATAGCACCTTTATATGTAAGTAGTGTATAGAAACTGTTCCTGGGCTCAGTAGCGGGGCCAAACAATTTCTCTCATATATTCAGCGTGGAAGAGTAGAAAATAATACCCATCTCATATATGCCTCTTAACTTTTTGGTTGGATTGTAAATTCTGCTGGCATTTATCACTGATGCCTGAAAAATTCAAAAGTGAAGGTGAATTTTCATTTTCTATAGTTTCTGTCGCATAGCTCCTTTACACTTTCCTGGTCATTACATCTCTTTCTTCTTTCCATATATGAAAAGATTGGTATGCTTATACATGCTGGTATTACAGGCAATATGGGACAAGGGAAAGTAAAGAAGTTACAGTTGAAGGCAGAGTTCAATTTGATTTGCTTCAGGTCTTGTCTATATAGCATATTTGTTTCACAAACCATTTCCTTGTTTGTATGATAGAGAAGTTTGTCCGTATTTTCTCACATAATGAATTATGTTTGTTCTTCATTTTCCAGGTCATGCAACGAGATTATAAACTAAGTTCTTATTCATTAAACTCTGTTTCAGCACACTTTCTCTCTGAGCAGGTAAGTTTTTGAGATATTGTTTCAATAAAGCTCAACAGAATTTGTCTTGGTTGTCAAGCTCTGTCTTAATAACATTTTGATATGGATTTTCTATAACTGATTTGTCTTGGTTATCAATCTTTTGTCTTGATTATGTACATACACATCCAGGAATAATCTGTTTTTCTGAAAATCAGTTTTGTTTCCACCTTTTGAATAAAGCCGGGCCTTTTGACCTTCCCCCCCCTTCCCATTTGCTCTTTCTAAGCATTTCTGCCTTAATTTTGGTATTTAGCTGTTCATGTTTCTTTCCGAGATTCTGACATGGGTATGTATTGGAAAAAAACGAAACCTATACTCATTTACTATTTTTTCTATCCTGAGTCTGTATAAGGTGTCAGTTTACTTCCCTTTAACATTATCCATTCGATCCTTTCAATGATACTTTTTCTTGTTTGCTTTCTATTGAATTAAATGTACAACTGGGGTTGAGCTTGCTGATGTCACTTTGTCTCATGCAGAAAGAGGATGTTCACCATTCAATAATATCTGATCTTCAGAATGGGAATGCAGAAACTAGGAGGCGGCTTGCTGTATATTGTTTAAAGGTGCATGGTTTGGTTTGACAGCTTCTTCTTCCCATCTTTTGATTTTTAAGGCTCCTCTTTTCTCTACTTGGAATCTCTGGCGTGTTAGTCATGTTGGCTTTATTATTAATTGCATTTAACCTATTGAAATGCTTGTATCAAATGCCGAGTGATTGAGAGATGGATTCAGATGATTGTCATATCGCAGTTGAATGATGGATTTCCATTTTTTGGGTTTTTCTTTGTTCTGCACAACAAGCATTCACATTAGAGATTACCTGCAGTTGAGGAGTTGGTGAATCTTTCTACAAACACACTGGAGAGAATTTTCATCAAGCGGGCAAGATAGCTTGTATTTTCTTGTCTTTCATCATTACTATAACTTAACTCAACAAGTGGACTTAGCTTCTCAACTATTTAGGATGAAGCTTTATCTTCTTTTAGATTTTAGATAGTTGCTGATAATTTAAATTTCAGGTGTGAACTGGTATATTCTTAGATGTCCATCTTCCAATGAAATAAAGTCATTCATTATGAAGAGTAATTCTTCCTCCTGTAAATTCTAGTTTTAAATAGAAGTCATCCTATTCCAAAGATCTATTATTGCATAAAAGCATTCTATCATTGAGAGCAGTGTTAACTTTAAGGAATTATTTTTGCAGTCGCATTCTGTGAATGTTTTTCTTCAAAACTTATTTAAATTTAACTTTTAGGGGAAACTGGTGATGGTAGTAGCCTTTAATGTGGTTTTAAATACATTAAGGGTCATGAATAGAAGTAATTCAGAAAGAGCTCCCTTTTCCTAAAGATATTTATGTCTGTGCATCAACCAACCTTCCCTCAATCTTTGGAGGACTCAGTGTTGATGAATGTTATTAAGTGGTGTTCTTGACCAGTACATTATGCATGTTTGAAGTAAAAAGCCTTTTTTTTCTCATTTGCTGCATAATTAACATCTTCTTGTTGGAATTGCAGGATGCATATCTGCCACAGCGACTCTTGGACAAACTGATGCTCATTTACAACTATGTGGAAATGGCCCGTGTAACTGGTGTCCCTCTCTCTTTTCTTCTTGCCAGGGGACAAAGCATCAAGGTTAGACCAGGGTAGTGCTACTTTGATGCATTGCCTCACTGGAGTTAGAACAGTTTTTCTATGATGTAATTTTTATAAATTAATTTCCCGAATTGAAGATACATATTTCACTGGTCATCAAAATGAGCTAGAAGAAATTCAGTTGCAGAATTTAAATGCAATGCATGTTTAAAATCAATATAGACTTTCAATACCTAATATGGGTTTGTAGTCATAAACATGGTTACAAACTGGTTAGAATTGATGAGACATGTTATTATGCTATTAGTTATGAATATCATTAGTAGCATAGGGAAGGTAAAAAACTATGATTTGATTGGCAGGTGATTTCATGTTACAATAAACATTACAGTGCTACAACTTCTTAATGATCATTTTTGGCTATGCGGCTTGGGAATGCAGGATCTTAGATGGAAGAGGAGTATGTTATTTGTATTCAATTTTTTTATACAAAAAGAAAAGAGTACATGCATTTGCAATTTTCAGCACATAAGAGGATCTAGATGTGTATAGAAAAGAGAACCTCAGAACAGAACTTTCCACTACAAAATCACACATGAAGATCTTTTGTACGATAAAAGTTTGAATCTATAATTGAAGTGAAGAGAGAAAAGCTCTGTTTCATGGTGACCATGCTGCAATTTGATCAGTGCTCATTGAATAAGATTCGAGATTCTGTTAGGAAAGACCTTTTCATATAGGCATGCATACAATATGAGTTTGGTTGAGCTATGGCTCTGTTTATCCCTATCTTCCTCTCCAAACTAAAATTTTGTGCTGCCTTAGGTTAGTTAGATTTTATTTAGGTTGCTAATTGACATCAAGTTAATCATGCTAATTTTAAACTATTGTTTTCAGGTGCTTTCTCAACTGTTGAGGAAGGCCAAGGAAAAAAACCTAGTTATTCCAAATGTCAAGCAGGCGGGATCTGAACAAGGAAAATTTGAAGGCGCAACTGTGAGTCAACATCTACATTGCCTAGTTTTAATTTCTTTTTTTAATCCTGGGCTTTATTTTCTGTTCACTTGTATTGCTATGAATTTAACTGACTCAGAAAGACTTCAAATGTGTGAAGGAGGAAAGCTTAATATAAAATTTCTGGCTAATTGAAACTATAAAAGTGTAATAATTGATGTTGTTGTTTCAACCTATTTAATATTCTTCTTGGCATCATCTTGGCTCGCTTGTCTTTGGGATGTCCTCACATGCTCATCTGTGGATATGCAATTTTGTCTTCCCCCTTCTTTATTCCCCTTCCATTCATGGAAGGTCTGAAAGCTAATTAATAGGTTACTTTGGTGCTACTGTATTGACCAGCAGTGCTTGCGTGAAGAAGAATACATACTCTTATTTGAAAAATTCCCAGTTCACAATGAATTGGAGGCCTGAAACCCGGGTGTGATTTCTATATATTGCTTCTGTAGTTCTTGACTAGTTGACTCAAGAACTTTGCTATGCCTGCAGCAAAGTGTGAATCATGGTAGCCTATGGTTATGTTTTGCATTCTTGCTTGATATAATTTAATTGCTATTCCCAATCTGTTATTATTAATAATGTTAAGCTGATGGTATGCTGGCGGGTAACTGTTTTAAGTCTGAAAAAATATTTGTTGGGTGTATCTCTGTAGTTTTTGGCTCCTGCTGATTCCATGTTAGATCTGAAATTGTGCTTTTGATGTTTTTGTAAGAATGGTAATCCATTTTGAAAGATTAGCTTGACAAGATTAAGTTCTTTGTATATGTATTGTATTCCAAATTTATTGATTTAGTTCTCCTTTTGGAATTTAATATCTCTGCTAATGTTTGGGATGTTACAAAAATCAGGTTTTGGAGCCAAAAGCAGGATTCTATGAAAAGCCAATTGCAACACTGGATTTTGCATCCCTATATCCATCAATAATGATGGCATACAATCTATGTTACTGCACTCTGGTGAACATTTGGACCTTTTTCCAGTAGCTGTTTTCTTTAAATGTTTAACTTGTCCAAGAATTGATTCTAAATGACAAGCTTTCTTCCAATTTTTTTAATCTTTATTGGTTTTTGTGAAGGTAACACCTGAAGATGTTCGCAAACTGAATCTTCCACCTGAATGTATCAATAAAACTCCATCTGGTGAAACTTTTGTGAAGTCAAATTTACAGAAGGTAGCTAGTTATTTAAACAAGAATTTTTGTTGTTGCTGGCATTTGTTTTCTCATGAAAAAAGAGTGAAATTGGTGAATCCAAATTTCTTATTGATGAGGATGTTATGCAATATACTTTCAGGGAATTCTACCTGAAATTCTTGAAGAACTATTAACTGCTCGAAAAAGAGCAAAAGCAGATTTGAAGGTGATCACCTTTCTAATTGCATTAACTTTCAGCTAGAAGTTTTTACTATATATTTCTATCCCATTGCACAGTCCCTAGATTTTCAAAAACCACTTACTCATACTTTTTTATTGCTTATTAGAATTTTTAATGATTTTAGGAAGCAAAGGATCCCTTTGAGAAGGCTGTTCTAGATGGTCGCCAACTGGCATTGAAGGTAAGTTTACAAAGCTCCAAACTAATTAGATGATTGGCATCTTCCGTAACCTGTACCTATTTTCAATTAATTTGAAGTCTTTGACATCTTTTCCTCTTTCAGATTAGTGCAAATTCTGTTTATGGGTTTACAGGAGCTACAGTTGCCCAATTGCCATGTCTAGAAATATCCTCAAGTGTTACAAGCTATGGTACTCTGACAAAATGTGTTTTCAAATTATAATTTTTTTTGGATTAAAAACATTAGCATATTGCTTACTAGTTCTGCTCAGTTTGACTAGTTGTTTGCTTTTTGAAGGTCGACAGATGATTGAACACACAAAAAAAATTGTGGAAGACAAGTTTACTATACTAGGGGGCTATGAACACAATGCAGAGGTATGCCATCACGAACTTCAGTATGTATAATGTGATAAACTATATTAGACAATGATAGGCTAGATGTGAGCTGGTTTATGATAGGTAGAGAGATTTCTCTCAGATTTATCTGCACCTCTCAACTGGTCAGTGCCTGCCTTTTATTAGTTCTTTTGCTGTCTTTCTTAGCAAATACAAATACATATACATATACATATACATATACATATACACATACACATGTAGCTTATCCTGTTTATGCATTCATGTGTATGGATTGGCTCTCTCGAAGTTCTTCAAGCTTTGAGATTACAGACATGTTACTATGTGCATGGCTTGAGATTAAAAGACTTATCTTCTCTCCTAGAGTTGCTCTATACTACCTCTAGAAGTGACAGGAATACCATGGTGTCTCTGAAAACCAATGTAGTGATGGGCACTGATGCAATAGACATTCACGTTGTTGATCAAACCTTATTGGCAACAGGTTGTTGCTGCAATTTAAGGGTTTGATATTTGGTCCTGTAGCACTTCTGTATGCTGCCCATGACTTTTGGCATGCCAAAGCTTCTAGCATATCTTTTATTGAAGATCCATCTTCTAATGAGCTAAATTCATATTGAGAATCCTCTGAAGCATGTACCAAGGATATATAAATTTTCCTTGAAGAATTATTCTCAATCATTGCATATGTGATTTTATCCCTATCTGTCCCAACTTTCTCTTTACCCCATTTGATACCATTAGAACTATTTATGTATATTCTTAAGCCTCGATTTGGGTCCAGCGCCTTAGCTGTACCTTATTATTGTAATAGCCTGATCTGATTAAGTTAATAATTTCAGGTTATTTATGGTGACACTGATTCAGTCATGGTGCAATTTGGAGTTCCTACTGTAGAAGCAGCGATGAAGTTGGGCCGTGAAGCTGCTGAGTGTATTAGTGGAACTTTCATCAAAGTAAGTTATCCTATTTTCATGGTGATATGGTGCAAGAAGAGGGTTATTATCTATTTCTTTGTAATTCATTGATTTCAGTATTCTATGATTAGCTGGTGAATATACTGTTTAGGATTTGTAATTATTATTCTTGTCAGTGATTTATATTTTGTTGGCATTTTGATTTCCTTACTAAGCTTGTAATGTTGAAGTGCCTTTACTACTATTTTAGATGGTTTGTTGTGAAAACTTTCATGTTTATTTTTTCTTTTAAAGTCAACTGTTGACCTGATTTCATGTGCACTTTTAATTGAACTTTTTTTCTTTGGGTTGTTTTTATAATTAATGCCTTCTGTTATTTATTGGATATTTGTGTGGCGAAGCCCATCAAGCTAGAGTTTGAGAAGGTTTATTATCCATATCTATTGATTAGCAAGAAGCGATATGCTGGTTTATTCTGGACAAATCCAGACAAATTTGACAAAATGGATACTAAAGGTGAATATTGGAACTTCTAAACACTCACGCTTTTGAAGTGTTTATAGTATGTCTTTTAATTTGTCATATGTCATGGACAGGCATTGAAACAGTTCGAAGGGACAACTGTCTATTGGTAAAAAATCTGGTAACTGAGTGTCTTCACAAGATACTAATAGACAGAGATGTGCCCGGCGCGGTTCAATTTGTAAAGAACACAATTTCAGATCTTCTCATGAATCGCATGGATTTGTCACTTCTGGTTATTACTAAGGTGGGGAATTGTTTTGGTGCCATCTATTTTGGCTTTTGATGTTAACCTTAAACTGCCTTTAAGCATGTTTAAGAATTTTTGTATCCGTACTAAAGCATCAAGCATCAAACATCAAAGACATCAATGTTCTGTTGCACTAAAGCATTTAGCTTAACAGGGTTTGACAAAGACAGGAGATGATTATGAAGTAAAGACAGCTCATGTTGAACTTGCTGAACGCATGCGCAAGGTGCTTTAATGATTCTGTTATCTACTTCATCAGAATGTCTATTGATGCAGCTGTGCTTTTTCTTGTGTAATTATGGACATATTACAGATAATACACTTTTATGAAATTTTGTTGAATTGAGTATATTTTTAAACTAATTTATGGGACAAAATGTTTTTTCAAAGTGTTTTGGCCAAAATTTCTCCAATCCATGAGTTTGAAGAAGTGTGAATTTTCAATGAATTTGGATGTTCAATGCAAACCTAAACTCCAAGTACCCAGCTTTTTGGGTCTGCTGAACTTTTTACTCGTACTTCCTCGTTTTAAGTTCAAAGTTTCCAGATTCGGCCAAGTTTTCAAATTCCATCTGGTTCCAAACTTTGAACTTTCATTATTCTCGTACTTCCTCGTTTTAAGTTCAAAGTTTCCAGATTCGGCCAAGTTTTCAAATTCCATCTGGTTCCAAACTTTGAACTTTCATTATTCTCGTACTTCCTCGTTTTAAGTTCAAAGTTTCCAGATTCGGCCAAGTTTTCAAATTCCATCTGGTTCCAAACTTTGAACTTTCATTATTTGTTCAAATTGAATCCGTACTTATTAAATATGCATGAATATCTCAAAAAATCGAGTTACTAACTTATTGTAGTTTCCTATAGTTACTGAAGTTTGCATTCTGCTGACATAACTTTGTAGGTGTCCTGTCTTTATTTCATGTTTATCGCAAATCTTGGTCTTCAGAAAAAGAAATAGGTTAGGGTTCTTGAAATTTTTAATAATTAAATGTTGCATCTGTATTTAACTCTGTTATAATGTTGCATGTGATTGATAGAGAGATGCTGCCACTGCTCCAAATGTTGGGGATCGAGTGCCTTATGTCATTATAAAAGGTGCAAAAGGTGCCAAGGTAATTGATCTGGTGGCTATGTATTATCCTATTCTATTTCTTCCACTGGAATATAATTCTTTTTACTTTCCTGGTTTATAAAATTTGATCTCCGATGTTTCCTGGTTTATGAAATTTAATTTCCTTTGGTGATCAGGCTTTCGAGAAATCAGAGGATCCCATCTATGTTCTAGAAAATAACATACCTATAGACCCCCAATACTATCTGGAAAACCAAATTAGCAAGGTTAGATTAGTGTATTGTAGTCTAAAGTGAAGTTATGTTTTGGTCATCTGTTTAGATTACATTTTAACAGTAGGGTTCACTTTGCAGCCACTTTTAAGAATTTTTGAGCCCATTTTGAAGAATGCCAGCAAGGAGCTTCTTCACGGAAGTCACACAAGATCTATTTCCATATCTACTCCTTCAACAGGTGGCATTATGAAATTTGCTAAGAAACAGCTCACTTGCATTGGCTGCAAAACCCTTCTTAGGTATGTTCGAATTGCTCTTCTTTTTGCATTTTCTATATCTTTTCTGTTATTTACCACACACCCCCCCCCCAAAAAAAAAAAAAAACAATCTTCTGCATGTGATGAGCATTTTTCCACTGGCACTTTAACCTTGAACATTTCAGTGTAAGAAAAATTTTCAAGTGTACTGGATGCATAGCAGGAGCTAAGAGCTCTTCTAGCATGTATAATTTCATAAAAAACATGAATCCAGTTTTGCATTCCATTGTTTTCCCATCAGAGATTTTTTTATTTTATTTTGTTGAGGGTAGGGTTGAAGCCACATCTAAGTGTTGGGAGCAAACTTAGTTCTTCATTTTAACCTTAGCAGAGTCTACACATGGTGGTGGCCTTTTTCTTTGTGTCAGCCTGATTTTGTGAAGAGTGCAAGATGATAGCTGGGAATATAGATTATGGATAGGGCAGTGGAATGTCTAGCATTTTGTCAGAAAAGTGTCGCAAAGATGTAACAATGGAAATTCTACCTGATTACTTTGGGAAGGTCCATGGGCCATGTTTGGTTTTCTCTTGAATTAGGAATGGATTGGGAATAGGATTCTGATTCAATTCTAAATAATATTGCTCTTCAATTTCAAACTAATTCTGCTAGTAATAGAGTTTTAGTACAATGAAAGAAAGGGATATAAAATGTCTCATCTTGTGTGGAATTTTAATTTTTAAGTGGTGACCTGAACAGAATCTCACAAAGAATGGAAAATGATTCGCATTCCATTCCCAATCCCAAGTAAACCAAATCTCCATTGAGCTCAATGTCTAAGAATTGATGACTGCAAAAGTATACTAGCTGGCTGCCTTATGTCGCCACAAGGCCTATACTATTGGCATAAATTCATGGTAGATGCATGTCCTCGGTCTCCTGTTATGGGCATGGCTCTGGAGTACTTCGTAGTCTCTAAAGTTTCTGTTATTCCACTCATAGAGCTATGGGTGCTTCAGCACATGACTTGCTTCTGTAATGAATTAAAGATCAGGGGGTCTTTTGTATTTCGGTCTTCAACGGACCAGGCACTCAAAGAGTTTATATAAACCAATTTGCATTTAGCAGAAGAAATCGAGGAGCCCATTATTTATTTCCCAGATGTTACTGATTTAAGGGTCTCGAGTAATTCTGTTTGTCAAGCTAGGAGGAGAAAGGCAGTGATGCATTTTTATTTTTCTATCAAAGGCGTTCTTGTTTATTCCACTCATAGTGAATGTAAATGACGTTCATCATATCCTTTTCCTTTACTTTTTAAGAATCTTCTCTGAAGCTTTGTTTTTGGCGTCTACTAATTATGGGATTGGGGTTCTATGAAAATCCTAATGCAATTAATTGTGTTGCTGACCAGCAATTCAGATCGTACTCTCTGCTCAAACTGCAAAGGGAGAGAAGCAGAGCTGTACTGCAAATCAGTTTCTCAAGGCAAGCATCTCATTTGAATTCTCTTTAATTTTGCGTGAGATGACTCTGTAGATTTGAAGTAAAGTGTTTGGTAATTGAAATTATGGATTGTTTACAGTATCTGAACTAGAGCAACTTTTTGGGAGGCTGTGGACACAGTGCCAAGAGTGCCAAGGCTCTCTTCACCAGGATGTTCTTTGCACTAGGTTTATCATCTCCTCCCTTTCTAAAACTATTACATACTCTTTACTTTTAGTAAGGATTGCCTTGTCGCATGTTGGTTCTCATTTCAAACCGCAGGAAAAATTTAAAAAGAAAAGAAAATGTGTTTTTTTTTTTTTTTTTGTATATTTTCTTTATTCTATTTCTAAGCAATTTTTCCCTTTTGGACCCAGTCGGGATTGTCCAATATTTTATCGTAGGAAAAAGGCACAGAAAGATATGGCTGAAGCCAAGAGGCAATTAGATCGATGGAGCTTCTAACATTCTAAGAAGGTTAGTACCTTATACTCCTAACAAAGTCAAATATTGCTAAAAAATCATAGATATGCCGGGAATGTTTCTCAATTTAACGAGGATAACACAAGAAAATGAGGAACTTCACTTCACAGAGGTGTTTTCCGATGTTCATGGACAAGATGGCAATTTGGCAACATGGTTTTGCACCCGTGGAAACTTTTTGATGCAGAGTCCCTGGATAAGCTGTTATCAGTTTTTCCGTTCACCATAAAGAACAAGATCCGAGTATGACGTGGTTCAATTTTGCTGGATACAAGGGAAAGATGTGATCGGTGGTTGGGTGTTCGATCAAGTATGACAGGCACAACCTTCTAATCCTGTTTGTATTAATTAATCAGTGATTTTGTATACAAGTGGAAGTAGGGCATGTATATTTTTTGTTTGTCTTTATTTATATTAATTTACTTTATTTTCTTTCTTCCTCGGAGACAAACACATGGATTCAGTGGTGAAAGTAAATTGTTAAGTGAAAACTACTAACAAATTAGGGGTGAAAACAATGCTGATAATTGTCTAGGACGATGCTTATAACAATAGAGGACAAAACATCATACAAACTAGGATGGGTTTATCTCAAATCTGCAGACAAATTATATGCTTCAAGAACAATCAAAAGACTAGGCTGAAAGAACAGATTAACCATTGTGAAAAAAATTAATTAAACTTGTTGATATTTTACACATGTATCATAAATAATTAATCAAGAAAATGTTAGGTTTTACTTATGTATTTTTTTCGTTTGTGACTTTTGTACGGACTTTCATCTCACAGGTCATTTTGCAGAAAAATTTTACACGTTAAACCTAACGCACTGCTAATGGTAAATGGCTTTGCCAACTAACCCTGCCCTGTCGTAGAAGCGTCGCCATTCTCTCTGGAGTAAACAGAGCGCAGGGAGTATTGTTTGGCTCAAGTAAACAATCTCAGACGTGTTGTTATGGGCTGTCGACATAGAGGGCAAGTTGGAATGCTTGCTCCACAATCCCTGCAAGTCTTCATTGCAGAAACAAGAGGAAAGTGAACACACAATCTCCAGCAAAAATAGTCATAAGTTCACATGGGTGTAATTGTAAGGGAAATGCACTCACCGTATGACCGCATCCGAAAGCCAGGTCTTTCAGGTTTGTCAAGCAAATGGGGCAGACCTAGAACAATATAACTTGTATATCAAAATGAAATCCTGGTACAGATATGAATCCGAAGGAGGTAAAAATTGGGGGGAAATGGTACCGGTTCCACTGAAGCTGTTGGAGCGGTTGGTTGAACCGGTTTGAAGTTTGTCATGTGCGGGGTTGATTTGACTGCATTGTCATGATCAATCACTTCACGAGGAGGTGGAAGTGGCCTTGTGTGTGGACCACCAACTGAATTGTAGCTGCACAAGTAAAAAAATAGTTCAAGACTTGAACGCCCTGGTTTGATTTCCGACAATAACTAAAAATCGAACCTTCCGTCTTACTTTGCACGCTGAAGAGTTTGTGTGGCTCTGTACTGAAGTGGAATTTCCATGAGGGCAGCAAGTGCAAAGTCTGTTTCTTTCTTTGATGTTTCGGTGTTGTCTGACATTATTTTTGTGAAGTTCACAAACTGCACGAGGATAAAAAGAAAAATGCGTCGGCACACGTGATGTTTTGACACACAGCAGGCTTCAAGACAAAAACAAGTTTGGTATCCCATGTGGTTTTGAAATTCCAAGACACTTAAAAAATTAGTTTTGAAAACTCAATCCTAAGCATGCCCTAAGATTAGTTCGCAAAGAAGAGGTTCAGGGTCTCTCTTTTGACGCATGCCATCTAAGGCTGAGCATACATATCAAATGTACCTGAAAGTTGTCAAACGCGCGTTGAGGAATGTTATCATCAAATTGCTGCATAGCATCCCACGGTCCATCCCCCACTCCAACCAATATAATTGAGATAGGATACTTACTGTGTATAAAATTGCCAAGCATCAATACAGTGAGAAAAGCACAATGTCCATACAATTTTACTGATGCCGTTACTTTACCTAGCAGCAACTATGGAGTTTACAGTTGCATGTTCTTGAGGACTGAACCTTCCTGCAGGAATATCAGGACTCCGGGTAACCTAAATATAGGAAAAAAAACCCAGCAAGCATTGCGAAGAACACAAAGTCAAAATGCGTTCACATTTCACAATGGCAGATAAGAAAGGGGATGAATATAAGCGAGATTTAAGCACCTGTCCATCTGCAATAATAACGAGAACATGATACTGTCCACCACTTTTCTCCACAATGTCAATCGCTGCATCAATGATTGGAGCAAATGAAGTTGGACCTACAGAAGTGGGTGAAAGTTGCTATTCTCAGTCCTTGTCCTTTGACAATGTAACACATAGACTTCTCATGCATAAGGAATTATCCATTTCTTAGGAAAGAAAAGAGAAAGATGCAAATCAAACTTCGAAATAAGCAAGAAGGAAACAGGAAAATGTCGAACCTGACAACTTCAAGTGTGGAACAATCTCTCTGTATCGTGTAAGAGCTTCCTCAAGACCATTGCAAGGTCGATTATCAGGATAAAAGCTGAATACATACTTATCATGTGTTGATGCTACCGAAAGTAAATAAGAAATAAATCAATAACCAATCCATGAAAACTCTAGCACATTGGGGTACATATAGTGAAGCTATAAAGAGAGACTAACCATCGCCAAATCCAAAACATGGTATCAAGTTATCTTCATCAAAAGGAGACAGAGTACGGCCAATGATAGAGATTGCTTGCTCATAGGGATTCAGTGTGCTACCGATTGCATGGAGGCTTTTCCGGTGAAATGAATGCCTACCTAATATCATCAGGAAAAAGCATATTTTCTGCACTTATCTGATATGCTGAAATTGGAAATTAAATAGATCTCAATGGAATGGAAAAATCACCTGTCCACTCATTACTCTTGGTGAAATCAATACCAAGTATTAGATTGGATGATTCAAGACCAGCTTCTCTCAGGGAAGAAATAACCTGAGAATACATAAAACTTGTTCTGCTTAATTTTTTTTCCATTGAGACAGGTAATAAATAAGCTGAGCGGTATGCTACTCAGTCTCTATTTTTTTTACCCTTTTTCTTAAGATTTATACTCAGCCATGTGCAAATTCGAAGATGTTTGTGTGACAATTTTCCCACCAATTATCATGACATCTTTCAGTTACTGATATCCTTGATTTTTTACTGATTTGTTATTTATATAACTTTTTCTTCAAGCTCCTTATAAACCAGTGAAGAGTATGTTTACTGTAAAAAAACGATAGCTGCATTGTCATGTACTGTACAATAGCAATGATAGCTTGTCATATACTCTGCTTTGGATTAAAGACTTCAATAACTTATAACTATTCAACTGTGGAAAGTTCTTAGTAAAACACGTCCCAATGGCTGCAAGACTGGATATTTCAAAACCTGTCAGCTTTAGCAGATTGATGATGAGATTGTCCAGCGGTCAATGGTCATCATGCTTGTGTTGATATGAATTGCCGAACATTGGTCAGCTAAAGTCCTATATTTCGTGCAATACTCTCAATAAGAGAGTACCTAGGCTGATGTCGCCACTCATTGTCATGTGCTGAATTTAGGCTTCATTCATGTTCTATTTGGACATCGACGCTCATCAACAAAGAAATACTTGGCTTGCTGTTAAAACCATCCCCAGAAGTTTATATTTCCTTATCCACCAAAGCAATATATGAAATCCATACACAAATTTCACACACCTTTTGTAGTTAAATGAAAATCATTGCTTATAACACGTTTAAAAGCAGACATTTTGATCACGAACTATCATGCACTATCAAAGTTCCAGTCATATTTTGTTGTATAGCGTATAATCTTGTAGCAGTATTTAATGATATCCATTGTCTTCTACAATTCAATAAATGAACCAAGAAACATACCTGTTCCAACGAGTTGAAATTATCAGCTATATAAGTTGGATGCCGCCTAGGTTGATAGTTATCGTCCATCGAGTTGAAATTATCAGCTATATAAGCCGGATGCTGCCTAGGTTGATAGTTATCGTCCATCGAGCTTTCCGAGTAAGAAGGGGATTGCTGCTGAAAATCATATTGATGATCATCAAAACTTGATTCCCCGTTCCCCATGCTTAACAACTTCTTTACCTATATTACCAAAAAAGAAAAACCCTCAAAGATGAGGTTGATTTTAGTTATGTCACAGAGACATCAGCATTCTGAAGCTGCAAGAACAGGTCCTTTAAAAAGAACAGAACAACTTGCAAAGAATAGCATACTCCAGATGGTTTTGCATCAACTCAAGTTAGTACAACATAATTTGTTTCATGTACCACCATTTCAGCAACTCAGTGGTGGGAGTGTGACCAAATTCTAAATTCAAAACTAGAAAGTTCACCAAACTAACACTAATTATATATCACAAACAAATAGATTAGATTCAACTCAGAATTGCCAAGAGCACCACACTCATAATTTCCATCATAATCATGTTTCTCTCTTCTTCTTAATTATAAACCCAATTTTTCCCACAAGACTAACCCGAAATCTATATCTCCACATGGCCTGTCCAACTAAAGGAAGAACTTTCCATCTATCAACTTATCAAAGAGATAAAAAAATCATACAGATTAAGCTAAAACTTAAACACCTTGCTGCTTCTCAATTAACCACCAAACCAATTCCATCACAGCACCAAAAACCCAAAACCCATCAACAAAAACATATCAAAATCCAAAACTTTGCATGCAAAGATAAAAGAAAAAACATTTCATTATCAAAGGCTGTACATTAAAGTCAAACAAAATAAACCACGAGATCATATACAAAGAAAGACAAAAAAAAAAAAGACCTTTAGAAAGAGAGAATCACCTGTTATCAACAGAGGTGAGATCAACAGAGGTGAGAGGAGAGAGGGGGGGGTATGCAAAAGATGAAATTCAAAGAGATATAATTAAAAGTAACTTCAATGATTTCTGGTTATGCCTCTTCACTGGTCCTTTTAAAAAGCTTAAGACAGAGAGAACCGGGGGAAAAAAAATGTTTCAGTACGGTTTGAAGTTACTTTATTTGACCATCTCGCTTGTTTGTTGACTTTTCCCTGTATGCATTTCCATCGCCAGCCAAACTGCATTTAGTTAAAAACTAATTTGTTTTTTATTTAATTTTTTATATAATATTAAAAAATAAAAAAAATACCTTAACAAACAATCATAACCTAATATAAATCAACATCTTCACATTCCACATTCAACGTTAGCTTCTCTTCCACTTTCCTGTTTTTCCTTTTTATTTTTTATTTTTTATTTTTTAAAGGATACAAATAATGTTGAATCATACAGAATACTTTACATGTCTCGATTCACATGTAAATAAATTTGAAAATACCCTTTACTCTCAATAAAGGATATATTAAAATATTTTAATTTGAAAATATTTTTCTCTTACGAATATATTAAAAATATATTATTTTACTTTAAAAAAAAAACTTAAAAACTAAAAGTTACCAAACCCGGAACCAATACCATCATGCTATACCTAAAATTGGAACTCCACGTAATGAATTACGAAGCAGGGAAACCTACAGTCTATTGTTTTAGTTTGTTTTTAACCCTAGTTTGGTCAATTGCTTAAGGAACTTCCAGGAGGGTTGCATTTTCGGTCACGTTTCAATAATCCTTGGTCCTAAGATCAAGTAACGTGATCCTCAATCAAAGTCTTAAGGATTCCCACATGACATGCTCTTTTGACTTTAACGTAAGGTGGAACAAGCCTTGCCTTGTCATATGATAACATAAAATATAAACGTCTTGCCATAAACTCCTTTTCCTTTTACAATTAATTAGTCCTTAAACCAATCTCATTAAGAACTAATCCCACTTATTAAATGCATTAATTTACAGGCTCTATGTTCCATGTTCTCATTAGCCATGTATATATATATGTTTAATCTCATTAGAAAACTATATTGTATGACTTCATGGTTTACTGAAGGATGGCTTTTTCTCCTATGTTCACCCTATACATGCAATGTTGCGTAGAGCACACGATAATGTGCATAAATTAAACGATTTAATTAATCAGCTCAAGGAATTAGAAGATGCATGCCAAACAGATGTTTACATAATTAACATCATCTCCTACTAATACTAATAATAATAATAATAAATTATTATTATTATTATTATTATTTTATTAACATGAGTGTCCAGACCAGCTTGCGCGTACCACAACTAATCCTACAACTCATTGAACATCCTGTAAGCCCAATGAACAAATAAGGCACCGCAGAGATGACAAGCATACCACACAAAGAGAACCCAATAAAAACATAAAAGAAACCACTCTCCAGCCCCACTACCACTAAAACTTAAACTGAAATTCGAAAAAAAGAAAGTAGCGTTGCCACAACCTGCTTGATTATTATTATTATTATTATTATTATTATTATTATTTTATTTTATTATTATTATTATTATTTTTTTTTTGATTTACGTGGGGTGTCCGGGCCAGCTTACGCGCACCACGACTAATCCCCACGGCTCACTGAACACCCTGCAAACCCAGCAGGCAGGTAAGGCAGCGCGGGGCTGACAGGCATGCAACTCCAAGGCTCGAACTCGTAACAGCAGAAGACGCAAAGCGTCATTCCACCGCTGAGCCGGTGCCTTCGGTGCTATTATTGGTAGTGGCATCTCATCGTCCAGAATCAACTTTTAGGGAAGTGATCCCCACCTGAAGAAAAAAATAGAGCGACTTGATTGGAAACTTTTGAAATGGGAAAAAGGAAGCAGCCGGAAGACCAAATCAGAGATTCTTTTATTTCAATAATATATACAGTGGATCATACATTAAAAAAAACCTAGAGGGAAAGGGGAATTACTCTGCATCAATGCATCAAGACACAAAAAAATTATTCGCCCAATGATGAAAGTGCTCTGAAGCCGCAAAATCTTCGAATTACATATTAAAAACAAAAACAAGGTGATTTTTTCACTATAATACAAGTATTTTTTTTATAAATTATGTAGGGTTAGATTAATAATTTTATTACAATAAAATTATTAATTTAATCCTAAAATTAAAAAAAATAGATTATTTTTCACTCGTGAGTGTTTCGGTCTTTTTATTTTTTTGAAACAAGTAAATAATTTTATTTTTATATAAAAAAAATCAAATAAACTCTCTTACAAGAGTTTTTTGGTTTTTTAATATCAAGTTAACTCTAGAGTGTTTTTATATTTTAATAAATATTAAATATTAAAAAAAATTTATTGGTGTATACATGGTTTTTATATCTTTTAAGCACTAAGTGGGAGTAGTCACTCTGTCATCAAAAACTTTCTTTTATTGTAACTTTTGAATCCTTTTGGCATCTTTTTTCATGATGCAATGACAACACTTGTTTCAAAAGATAAGTGATTATTTTTTTTTTCTCTTTCCTCTTAGCTTTTCACACTAGCTTCTTAAAAATTCTAGAACAATCCTTTAATTTGTTAATTCTTCATAGTTGGTCCATTTTTATTATATATTTTTTTAATCTTGGAAATTTATAAAATATGAATACTTTTCAATTTTATCCTTTTTTTATTTTTTAAATTTGGTTTATATTCTTTTAATTGTTATTTATTTTATTTGAGATTATTTTCTACATTAATTTTTTTTAATAATTTTATCCTTCTTTTTTTTTCTATGAGATTTTTTCTATATTATTTTGATTGCTATTTTTTTTTACTTTGACAAATATTTTAAATCGATACCTTTTTTTTCCGGTTTTATCCTTTAACATTAAATTTATTGGAGGTTAAGCATATGCTCAAATTTAGAATTTCATGAGTTATGGGTTTTAGAGGGTAATCCAGCTTTGCTTTGTTTTTCCTTTTTCCTTTCTTTAACTTCATATTTTTTTTAAATTTTATTCTTTAGTCTTTATTCAATTGGAGATTGGACTCCATTATTTTTATTTATTTTATTTCTGTACAATTTCTCACTCAATTTTTAAACAACTCTGACTATGCTAGATCTTTTTATTTTTTATTTTTTTGTTGAGTTTTCTTTGGCTAATGTTTTAAATTGATAATTTTTTCCAATTCTATCCTTTGATATGTGGAATTATTTTATAATTTATAAATTTAGAATTATTTTTCATCATTTTTTTTAACTTATCAAATATATCTCCCATTTTTTTTATTGTTATTTATTTTATTTGATATAAATTTTTATTTTTTTTACAATTTCATCCTCATATTTTTTTCTATAAAATTTTATTGTTTTTTTTTTTACTTTGGAAATTTTTTTAGATTAATATATTTATTTTATTTTATTCTTCAACACTAGATTAATTAAGAAATGAGTTTCATTTTCAAAATAAATCCAAATTTAGGATGTTCACTTGAGTTTATTTTATTTTTTCTTTACTTGTATCTTCAAATCATGTTGTTTTAAACTTTATCATCCAATATTTATTTAATTAAAAATTAAATTTTGTTATTTTAATTTATTTTTTAAAATTTTTTTATTTATTTTAAAAATAACTCAGGTTGTCTCGAGTTTTTTTTTTCTTTCATATTTGATTGTTTATGTTTCTATAGCTTTATTTTGTTTTTAATAAAAAATAATTTAGGTTGTTTTTTTTTTTTGTAGTCCTACAAATCTACTAACATAACTAATATTTTGTTGTAGATCTTCACATGGTATGATCTTTGAGCTTGAAATGACGTTTTGTTTGTTTTTGTGAAGTTGTTCCATCCACTGCACTTGTAAAATGGGTGCTTGTTGAGCTGGGTTTGCATATTTTTGGTGGGTTAAAAGTTTTTATTTGTCAAAAACCATTGGGCTTGGGATTGGCCTAGCTTGGAGGGACGACAGTCTTCGTCAATTTCTGCATCCCAGGTCCTCTAACCATGTCAAAACCCTCCTTTTCTGTCCCAAGTTTTACCTCTTGCGTTCATTCCTTCTCCTCGTATTCTTCACCCTCTTTGGCTGCAAAATCAATTCTTGTACGTACCTTGAACCTTGATGAAGCAAGAAACTTCGCAATTTATGGTTCACGTACGTATACATGGGAGTTTTCAAGTTTGATAATGTTGTATACACAATTAAATCATACACAAATTTATATGATTAGCACTCGGTTTAAGCTTGATTAGTCAAGTTTTTATTAATATATTTTTATTAAAAAAATACTGGATCAAAAAAGATTTATAAATATAAATTTTCAGGAAAATAAATATATCCTAGTGATGATGCACTAGGCTCGACAATATACTAAACCACAGGAATGATGAGTCTGACATTGACTAGATTCGAGAAATAATTGAGTTTAATACTATCAATTTTATAAATTTTATATAAAATTATTTATGAATTATTTATCAATAAATAGACTTAATTAAACAAGTGTATACTAATCAAGATCATTAGATGTGTTAAAGCCTTTTACGGTTAGCCATAACACCATTTTTTAGCTAGATAAAATAAGTGAAATACAACTTATAATATTACAAATATAAAGTTACACTCAAATCCCTTTTCTTCAAAAAAAAAAAATTAATCTCATAGGTTTTTTTCAAATAGTCTATTGGGTCTGTGAATATAAAAAAAACTTTTTATTTGTCCTGACCAGTCCTTCTCTCTTTTTAGATTGGAGAGAGCTACTATTAAAAGACCAGATCTTTTTGAAATAAAATATATAGCCCACATAAATGCTTCTTCTTGTGAGTGGAGGTGCTCTGACATCAATTGTAGTATGAGTGGATAGGGCTTTATCACTTCATTTTAGACTCGACTCTATTCAGGTGTTGGATTTCATGCCCTTACAGGGAGGGTATCTGATTAAGGAGCGCAACAATAAAACCTTTATTTAAAGGTTTATAATTTTTATTTTTTATTGTATATATATTTTTAAAATATTTCTCTATAATATTATTATATTTTCTTTTAAAAAAAACTTACTAGGTATTAGAAAATCTTTATTTTTATCAAAAGAAACCTTTTATAGGTATTAATCGTGAGCCATGTTGACCTATCAAATATTAAATATAAGCTATTAACCATCT